CCAGGACCGGCTCGCCCGGTTTTAGTGGGCCTGGGCCGGTCTCGTGGGTCGGTCCTATGATTTGGGCCCGTCAGGCCCGGGACCGTTTAGCCCGCCAGAGCCCGGTCCCTTAACGGGCCAAACAGTCCCAACGGCTATTTTTTTTTTTTTAAAAAAAAACAATATAGCCGTTGGGCTGTCAAAAATAGCAGTTGGCTATTTATAAAATAGCCATTTAACCCCCCCAACTTTGTTCTAATACCAAACTTTTTATAATTATACTTTTTCCCTATTTTCAACTATAAATACCCCATCATTCTTTCATTTTTTCTTACAAAATCATCAATCTATCACAATCTCTCTCTAATTTTCTTCTCTCTCTCTCTCTCTCTCTATATATATATATATATATATATATATATATATATATACACATACACATATATATACACATTATATCGATATATATATATTATACATTTAATATATATACTATACTATATATACATCTTATATATAGTATATAAGATGTATATATAGCTTATCGAATATAGCTTATTACTTATATCGATATATATATATATATATACTATACTATACTATATATACATCTTATATAAAATATATATATAGCTTATCGAATATAACTTATTACTTATATATATTATACATTTAATATATATACTATATAAGATGTATATATAGCTTATCGAATATAGCTTATATATATATATATATATATATATATATCTTATATCGATATACTATATATACATCTTATATACTATAGTCTATATATATTTGATATTAAATATTGAATATTAAAATTTAAGTCACAATTCTATAATAAAATTTACAAAGCATTGTCTTAGATATTTTTTTTAACATCCTTTTGTTTCTATTATCTATTTAATTTTTTTAAAAAAATATATATATGTTGGGCCCACTTAGCCCGTTTAGCCCGGGACCAAACGGTCCCGGGCCCGATCTCTACAAAAGCCCGTAGGTACGGGCCCGTTAGGCCCATTTAATTTGGGACCGCGACCGTTTGGACCGGCCCACTTGGCCCGTTTAGGCCCGGGCTCCTAAAATTCTAGTGAAAGATAATCACAGATTACCTTTCTTACAAGCTGCCACGAGCTCTCCAAAATTACCTTTCTCTGCTGATATTAAGCTTATCAATCCAGATTGCTCTCAATTACTACTATTTCTAGTGAAAGATAATCACAGAAATACATCTCTAGTGAGATACAAAATTCTGTTAGGGAAACAGTAGCTAGCAATATGATCGCTCTTCGACCAAGGCCTCCAAAATTCTTACAAGCTGCGACGAGCTCTCCAAAATTACCTTTCTCTGCTGATATTAAGCTTATCAATCCAGTAATCAAGCTGACCAGCAACACATTCTGAACCAGTGGAGCCATATGATCTGAATTTCTTTATTGAATTTTCAACCCCCAGAAACTCGTAGACATCCTTGTCAAATACCGGACTTAGACTGTTCAACTCGTCAAGGCTAAGGTCTTGAAGCTCGCAGTTTCTGGAAACACACAAAGCGACAGACCTCCCAACTATGTCATGAGAAGTTCTGAAAGGTATTCCCTGCAGGAAAAATCCCAACTTCATCATCATTAAGAGAGAAAAGCTAAGCTGAAGGATTTCTTATTCTACAAATAACTGATTAACTGCTGCAACAAACTAGGAAAGAACCAACAAGTTCTACCAGGTGACGAGTTTATTAGTCAACCCAGAGGTATGTACTAATTTGTAAATCCACGAGGGGAACAAAATGCCAAGGCTACTTAGTTGGAAAAGGAAGGCCTATGTTTGATGCACAATTTGTAAAAGACGTTCTGGATACTTGAGGATGCTGAAAGAGGACTCCAAATGAAAACCTCGTATTCGATGATCTGAACTGAAGCCTCAATTTGAGTAAAGCCAAAAGCCATTCAGTTAAATTGTTCTTAATACAACAGAAACGTAAGAGATATTGATTCATTAGGAAAAATTTGGCAAAAGTTTCCTTCTGTCATGAGCTAAAAGCCACTTCAGCACAAGAACTACTTCCTTTACACTTATCATCTATCTCCTGACTCCCAAGTGCTGTAGTTTTAGAAAGCCACTAATAATGATAGATCAAAGTAACAAGGGAAAGCGTACAAGTCAAGGATTCAAAAATCACTTGCCTTTTTCACAAGGTAATCAGCTAGGGTAGTGGCATCAAGATGACCAGCCGGTAGAGCCTTTTGTATTCTCTCTCGGTTAAAGGCAACATTCTGTGCAAACTCTGCTGAGACCTCAAGCATCCCAACTATTGTCTTGACACTGTCAAATACGGGCTCCTTATCTTCCTATTTAACATAAAACGAGGAAAAATAACAAAAAGTGGGAATTATGCGCACACAGAAAATATTGTCAAAACGTATATATGTGCATTCAGAGGGGAGACATGGTGTAACAGGAACTTCCTAAGAAGTGAAACTGCTAACGGAATTTTTTCTGAGCATCTAGACTATCGGTGGTGTAGAGTTTCAGGAAAGCACTTTACCTGCAAATCCCGGTTGTACGCATGAGGAAGTCCCTTGCACAACACAAGAAGTGTAACTAAGTCCCCTATGACTCTAGCAGATTTTCCACGAACAAGCTCCATTGGGTCTGGGTTCTTCTTTTGAGGCATTATACTGCTTCCAGTGGAAACAGAATCACTAGGGGTCAAGAAGCCAAATTCTTCAGATGCCCATAATACCCATTCTTCGCCCAGGCGAGAGAGATGGACGGCAGTGATGGAATTAGCAGAAAGAAGCTCCAGCACAAAATCTCGATCTGAAACTGCATCAATGCTATTGCACATAAACATTGTCACCATAATTGAAAAATCCAGATGTCAATAGCAAGAAAGAAATTAATGTGATTGCAGATTAATCAAACACACAAAGTAATGGTAAGAAATAGAGAGGAAGATAGATGATGATATTCTTATACCTAGCTGGAAAAAGTGCATAGCAGTGTAAGAGTCTGATTATCCGTTTTTGACAGCAAGCTGGCTTGTAGCTTAGCTGTGGATACTTATTGGTTACTTGGTGATTGACACAATTTAGTTACCCAAAAAGAAGGGTACTATGTCAAGTCTATCAAACAAAGTCAAAAGACAGAGAGGATTTACAGAGGGTAAGAGCAAATATTACAACAGAAGCACGAGACAACACTGTAACATTAAGTGTTTCTTCTTCCAAAAATTCTCATGGAAGCACACTGGGTTTTCCCATTGCTCATTAGTTTACTGACGTCAATTAGCTTGGGACTTCAGCTTATCAGGGTCAAATTCGGTAGGTCACAATCAGTTATATCTTGATTCCCTAAGTATAAAGATTAGTACAGTACAATTCCTTCTCTTCCCCCACCCCCTGCAGCAACCCTTGTGAAGAAAAGGAAAGAGAAAGAAAAGTACGTCGGTAACTACAAAGTAGAGGTTCAATAAAAGCTGCAAGTTCCATTGCTATTAAGCATGTAATTAGATGCAATATATCTATCATACATTAGTACCTGTTCCTCATTGGCGCAGCGAACCCCAATGAATCAGAAGTCATAAACCTATCAATGGGAAGACCAGTGCCAGCTAATGCACATGCACCTAGAGGGCAGAAATTCAGCCTTGCTCTACAATCTAACAAGCGGCCAGCGTCACGCTCAAGCTACAAAGAAATCATTCTTCTGTCGTCAGCAATATGTAGGTTTAATATTCTTAAAATCCAGCACAGCTAAATGAAGCTATTGAACTAGCCGGCTCACATGAGATCCAAAGAGAAGAACAACAAAGCAAGTACAGAAAGCAGTGACATATACAATCAGCGAACTTGGCACTGAAAGGGATCTTCTCCTTAGGAGAGGAGAAAAACAAATTTCTTTAAAAATATCCAAAAAAAAAATAGAAGGAAAAACAGGTAAAAAGGAAGAAAAGGAAAACAGATAAAAAACAATGGTTGAAACAATTTGCACAACATCATCAAGAAACGATCAGATATTTCCTTCACAGAAATTATAGTCTGCAATTATGTTGAGGGCCTCATTGGAACAAGCAAGTGAGAGGTACACTTCCCAATGGAGAAAAAAGGCCCTCAACAAACAAGTAGGAGAAAATGCTCCACGTGGTATTGTCAATGCAAAATGGATTTTTCTTTTTGAAAGATCTGATACTCTGTCAGCAAGCTAATTCAAAATTTCAAATGGACAGGTTTTAACTATTTCAAAATAAATAGAAGTCTGTGAGGTAAAAAGACAATAAATTTTGAAGGGAAATGAATGTAAATGTTCGTGGTATTGTCTGAGGCTCCA